AACCCAGCTTCTTACATTCAAAGTATCAATTCAGTTAATCTGTGTGGGCTTTGATTCTTCAATGCTAAAATGTCAGGTTTCCAAACATAAAAACTGACTGACAGCGATACATATCAGCAAAATAGATTGATCCAGACCTAAAACCACAAGCTCTTAAAACAGAAAGGAGAAAAACTTTCTAAGTTTCTGTGATGCTGATAATACCTTAAGCTCTACACAGTAACTGGAATTAAATTATTCACATAGGGAAGCAAAGTTCCCATTAATGTATATGCCTCTGATGCAAATGAAACATAAAGGCTTAATGAAACTATTTCACCTTCTGGAAGATGTAACAGACTTTATGTTCTTTTAAAGAGAAAGTCCATCAGCAGGCCAGGGAAACAAACAAGCAGCTTACTTGTTATGACCACCTTGATATAAACCAAAAATTGGCTTCTAATCACGTAAAATAATTTCAAAATTTTAATGTCATTTATTTTAAAAGTTATTTCTCTAAGAATTAAGCAGGTTATTTAAAAAGTGTTCAACTGATGTGTTCTTTTCTGAACTTAAACATATTGTCCCCAAACTACATCTCGAGTATTTGGACTTTCTATTGGCATTTAATAATAAAGTATTTTCCAACTCTAAAAAATACGACTATATTTTTCATGTAAACACACACAAACACACACACACCATAATTAATGGAACCAATGTGTCAGTCTATTGTAACGTCTACAATTTTGTCACTTACATAATTCTCAAAATAGACAATATACTTAAAATGTCAAGTTTTCATTTTATTTTTTTTCCACCACTCAATTACTTACTGATCCCTACTTTCTCTTTTAAAACAAACGAAACACCTATTATCTTCCTTATTAAACCATACTTTTATAATTACGTGTAGTCAGCATGTATATATAATTTTTAATTTATCAAGCCCCATATTGCTGAATATTTTCAAAATACTAAGGAGCTCTAAGGAAAACAACAATTTAACAGTCTACTTTAGTAATCACATATAAATATGTAATAATGAAAATTAAAAACCATGTCTACTTGATAAAAGCCTATTGGCTGGGTATTTGCAAGTGGTGCTGAAACTTATCTGTCTAACAAGCTTTTTCTTTTTCTTTTTTTTTTTAAATATAAATAGTAGTACAAGAACTCTTTCTGCACTCTGGTTTGAGGAGAAAAAAAGTTATTAAAGCAAAACAAGATTCCCAGCAGGCATATGACTTCCGGGCAGGCAGGGCCAGGGTCTTCTCCAAATCCCCAGCTCAATCTCCTGTACTGTCTATATAGATTTCAGGGACTACAAAACCTAAAACTAAAGATTTACATAGTTCAATGTACAGAAGCCTATACACCACATCTAATAAAGCAGTCTCAGAAAATTTTTCAACAAGAGTCAAGAAATTGTTTATAATTTCTACTTCAGGCTTAATTAAACAAAATACTCATCTGCCATTGTCTAATTCATTGAGGTTTTTCACTGTAGTTTAAATTAAACCTTAATCTGCCTACTGTGAATTCCAGCCTTCAAGCCCAGTTGTTTCAACTCCCCCCTTTTTGAAGTGTTAAAAAGCAAGAAACCTTTGGAACTGCAGAATATCTGCTTTCTCAGAATTTATGATGTTTTCCTGTGTGTTGGGGGGGCTTGCCTAGTCCCACTAAAGACATCAATTAATATTTACATTAATTTATAGTCTATGGATTTATGTATATATATAATTTATAAATTTATATTCTATAAATACCTTATTTATATATAATTCACTAAATCAAACAAAACACCATCACCAACTTTGAACTTAAAATATACCCTCAAATACACGGTTTTCAAATAACTCATTTTTAAAACTTGTGTAACTGTCTATCATAGACAAAACTCAGGTGCAAACCAAATCTTTTTAAGAAATAAACAGTATTTTAAAAATTACAAACACTACCATTTACATCACACATCTGACTTTTGTCTACTACTAACAAATTGTAAAAGTTTAATGAAATGCCTGAATCAAACGACCCTCTTTTTCACTCACAAAAATGTTACTGGTAACAAATGTCCAAAGAGACTCTCTCTTAAGCACCAATTGGTTAACTATGTATCAAAGAGTAAACCTATTATGTTTCTCAGACATTTATCTTGGTGGATGTACAAAACAGACATGTAAGTCTTCAAAGCACAGTATCAATAACAATTGTCAATCTTTGGTAGCAAGACAAGTTTATGCAAAGGCTTGTTCCAGGCAGGGAATCTTTAGAGTTTTTAGAAGTCTAGCAACTTTTTGAGACTAGGACATTAAAATAACATGCTTTTCATACACAAGAGTGCAGAATATAAATGTTAAAACAATATTATCAACTTAAAATCATCCCTCTATTCTAGAAGCCTACTATTACACCCAGCTTTAACCAGGTTCCTTGAGCAATGTGGTGGCTAGGCTGAAATTTTGGAAGCATCCGCTTTGGTGGTGACCAATAATGAAGACGACTCTGGCTTCCCTGTTGCTGCAGTTTCTCCCCACCTTCCAAAATGAGTATACCCACCGGTGTGAATTGACAATGTGGTCCAAAGAGCAAGGCAGGAAACGGAGTCCAGATCCTCAAAATGGTAGTACAGGGTATAACCACTAGGCCACCTATTAGTTCAGTACAAAAAGTACAACCCTGTGCATCATGGTGCAAAAGCTGGGCCTAGGTTTCGCATTGTGCATCTCACACCTATGGAAATAATGAAAGGAGTAAAATCTATAGAAATCAACACACCCTAAGAAGGTGGGTGTTCACAGAAGACTGGTGTCAATTCTTTTGCAAAGATGGTTGGCTACTGAGATAATGATGACAATTAAGAATCCCAAGTTGGAAAGACAAAATTGTGTACTCAACTGTTGAGTATGACAACGAAGACTCAACATGGGCTTGATGTTTACCAACAAAGCTTTGCAAATCTTGACACCCATCTACACACTTTTCTCTAAAATCTAACACCCCTCAGGAATGACTTAACTCTCAAAGAGTTGGAAAGACTTGGGTTATGAAGAAGGAAGGTGATCAAAAAGGCTACAAACCCCTTACTCTAAGGTTTGAAACATTCCCCTTTACCTCCTGACCTTAGAAAAGTAATGGTGACACACTCAAAGCTTCAGGTGGAAGAATTCCAGAATTTCAGAGAAGGTGAAATCTGTTTACCAAGGATGTGCCAAGGTGATTTGTCAAGAACAAATGTGGATTTGTCTGAGGGTCAACAGTTTTGAAAGAGTAAAAAGAGAAAACTTATAAAATGCAGGGTGGATTCTTTAAAAGAAGTAAAATCACTGCTCTTGACTTACTTAATCCTTCGCCATGTTGCTGTCAGCTCACCAACTAGGAGTTTGTGTGTGCGTGTGTGTGTGTGAGTGTGAGTGAGACAGTGTGTGTGTGTGTGTGTGTGTTGCTGGGCCCATTTTCCCATGGTCTGTAGAAGGCGCTGTGAAGCACATCCTGTTCTAACTCTGGGGCCCTTCCCCCCCTCTGCAGCCTTACCCAGTGCAGAGAATGCGCCCCCTACTGACTCCAACACTCATTGCCTTTAGCCGACTTGGCTGCGGTGCATTTTGGGTGGGGGCTGGTATTTTCTTCATGGCCATAAACCAGAAGCAACAATGCAGATTTATAAAGAAACTGTATCAAGCAAACCAGGAGATCCACCTCCGCCCCCAACTTGAAGGTTCAAGACACAAGCACGAGAAGCATCAGGGATGGAGACTGGGTGTGTGGGGATGGACAGCGATTAAAATGGCAAAATACAGGAAGCAGTTTGGTTCTTTTTTCCCTCCTAAGCCTTTGTCTGGGAAATGGGGTTATGGCAAGAACTAGCCAAAGAAACTGGTGAATGCAAGAACCTCAAGAAAACTTCGTGTGGGTAGGTGTGCAGCCCAAAGGGATCCAAGATCTGAGAGCCTGGCCTTGGACAGAAGAGGAAGGAGAAGCAATCGCGCCTTTTCCAGCAGACAGACGTCCAGGTTGGGGGGGAGGGGAAGGCAGGCAGGCGGCCCAGAGGAAAGAAGAGGTGAAGAGAAGGGTGCTCCAAGAACTACTCCCCATTCATTGCATTAAACACATCTCGCTGCCTCCTGGCATGCCGTTTTCTACCATCATGCTGCAAAGTTGGGGCTCAGCATGTTTGTGAGAGGTCGTGCTGACCAGGCAGCTGGGATTGGGAAAAGGGGGGTGCTGGTGCACTCTGTGGTCAGGAGAGGAGGGAGCTGGCCTGGTGGGGAGGAAGGCCTGCACAGGGGAGGCAAAGACATTCACTCCTTGCCTGCCTGCCCCCTCCCCCAGCTAAGGGTAGGCAGACCCGGCAGATGGGTCGTTTCGGGCATTGGGGGTGTGCGTAGGGGGCTCGTTTTGCGGGGGGTGGGGAGGGATCGGTTCTTGCTCAGGGCGGTGTGGAGGGACACGCTACGAGCTGCAAAAGCTCGGGGGCCCAGGCCGGCTGCCGGTCTCTGGGGCCACACGGGGCGGAGAAGGGGGTCGGGCTGCAGGAGGCGCCGCCTGGACCCCGGAGCGGAGCCTGGGCAGCGACCGCCACGGGCCGTCAGCCGGGGAGTATGCAAAGGAGCCCGCGTGTGGTTGGAAGCTAGCGATCGAAACAATACTGCGTCCCGCGCCACAGGACCGCGCTCGGCGAGGCGGCCCGAGGGTCGGCAGGCAGGGCCGCGCGGGGCTTACCTTGACTCGGCCTCGAGGCGCGCGCGG